AGGGAAACAAGAAGTACAAAAGCCTTAAAATGTGAATTTATCTGCATATCCAAGGAATAATGAGCCTGTGTGCCTGGAGCAGAGTGAGGGAGTATTTATGGCATTAGGGGACATTGTAAGGGGTTTGACTTTTATTTTCAGCAAAATGAGGATTCATGACAAGATCTTAAGTAGAGGAAACACAGATCTGACATAAATTTTTAAAGGCTAAGTCTGCAAATCTGTTGAAAATGGACTGGAAAAGAGAAAGATAGAAACAGAAATCTATAGCAGGAATCCAGGAGAGAGATGATGGTGCCTCAAACTAGGATATTATCAATGGAGAGGAATACATGATGAAATAAAATGGAGTATGGAAGAAAAAATGAGTTAAAGATATCTTCAGAGTTTTGGAGCAAAGCAACTAGAAGTATAAAGATGTAATCAAGTGAAATGGGGGTGAATTCTGAGGTTATACAGGGGAAGGTTAGAAACCAGGAATGCTGTTTGGAACATGCTGAATTTGAAATGTAATTCAGATATTGTAGTGGAGATACGAATAGTCAGTTTCGTATATAAGAAAGGAGATCTGGGCCAGAGATATAAACTGACTTACAAAGAAGTCTCCTAAATTATTGATTTATTTAAAATTTTGTTTTACCTTATGAAATATTTCAACCATACAGAAAACTACAAACGATAATATAATACCCACTTGTGTATTGACCACTCAGAGTTTAACATGTTAATCTTTTGACCCTAGATTATTGGTAAAATAAAGACATTTTAATGGAATTATTGAGTTCCCATCCCATTTACCCACAAGGGATCTGGTTATAGGTCCCCAGCTCTCAAAGGGCCAAGGCCATATTCCCATATAGGTGTTAAAACCATGGCTCTCAGGGTCTAGTTCCTATATTTACAACCACTATCTATGTAGTCCATCTCACTATTGATCTATGCACTTACTTCTCTAACTTTGATGCCCATCTTGATTTCTAATACATGGAGATTTACCATTCTAATTCATACTTGGCTTCATATTTATGTAATTTTTTCTAAAATTGTATTTACTTGTGTTTAGAATAAGAAAAGAGTCTATATCCTATTGTTATAAATTGCATTTAAAAATCATAGAAGAGGATTTTGAGGAAGAAAATGATAGAACTTCAAATGTTTATTAAGTACAATGCATATTGAGTTTCTGAACATATGAAAAGTTCTTTATGAAACAATACTCTCTCTGTATGCTGAATTGCATAAGGCAAAGGGCAAGAAATTCCAATCATTCTTTCTTGAGTTCATATCCATGAAGCAGGCAGTGTCTGTTTCAATTTCCCTTGTATGCTCAGTACCAATTATAAATCAAGGCATAGAGTGAGTGCTTTGTAAACATGTGTGGCTATCATAGCCTGGACAATTAAATATCTAAGAGAAAGGGAACCCATTCTTTCTTAGATCATCAAATACTACGTAATTTCAAGCATGGAAAAACTGCAAATCTGGGTAGAAAATAACATTAAAATTGGTTTCTTTCCAAGAGCACAGATGTAGCCCTTGCCCAGAAAAATGGAAGTGGCTTGGGGACAAATGCTACCAGTTCTATAAAGAGAGCAAGAATTGGCAAGGCTGTGAATATTTCTGCATTGCTGAGAACTCTACCATGCTGAAGATAAACACACAAGAAGTGCTGGTAAGGTCCTGAGTTTTTGTCAGTGTTTGAAGTGTTCTCAAAAACGAGTCTTTAACCAGAGGAAGTTAAATACCATATGATTTCACTTATATGTGGAACCTAAAGAACAAAAGAAACAAACAAACTAAATGAAAACAGACTCACAGATATAGGGAAAAAACTGGTGTTTGCCAGAGGGGAAGGAGGTTGAGGGGCTGGATGAAAAACGTGAAGGAATGAAGAAGTACGAATTAGTAGCTACTAAACAGTCACGGGGATGTGGAGAACAACATAACACAACAACAACGGCAACAAAACTCTAGGGGTGGCACCACAGTGTAGGGTTTAACACGTCTGCTTTACACCCAGAAGGTTGTGGGTTCACGTCGCAGGTGGAGCCATGGACCATACCCTAGGTGCGCTGGGCCCCCCGAGTGTGCACTGGGGGTGCCAGGCCCCAGGTGTGCCAGATCCGTGGGGGGCAAGGAAGGCCCCAGGTGCACACTGAGAGCACATGAGAGTAGATGCCCCGCCTTCAGAGATCCAGTTCTTAAGGGGAAAATGGCAACATGCATAGGTTGGGAGTGAAAATGGGAGGAAGGGAGGCAATTAAAGAGGGGAAAAAGAAAAACAAAAACTCTTATAAAAAGCTATACAAGAAATACAAGAAGAGTCTAAGGAGTTGAGGTCCACAGACTCTCCTACTTATCGCAATCAGGGACACACATACAGACACGCACATATAATATATATGGAAAAAATGTTTTTCTCCTCTTCCTAGTCTGAGACATATATCATTCTTCCAAATTCTTTTATTTATTTGTTTTTTTACCTTTTTTTTGCATTAAAGTATATTCATTATTCTTTTCTCCTTCCTGGGCAGTCCCTTTCACATGTATTTATAAAGATTACTTCCCCATTCCTGCATTTTTCCTTTCATAGTCTTCCATTTCCCAGAATCACTCCACATCTCTTTGTAAATCTGCCTTCTGTATTTTTTGTAACAATCTTAGTGTTTACCCAGTGACTTGAAAATAATGGGCTATTTATCAATCTTGGTTGATGTGATTCTTGGCTTTAAAATATCAGTATACGTTACATGCTTATTAAAACAAAATAAATTCTTTAACTTGGACAAATTCACTGATCTTGGCACAAACGCTTTTCTCTTAAGTGTACTATCATCTAGGTAAGGCAGGACTGGTGTTGTTCTCATATTAAAAGAGTTGGCTGGCCCAACACATCTTTGTATACATATATTATAATATCTCTAAAGCTAAGGTTTTCTTGTGTGTCTTTCACAGGAGTTTGCCATGTCTCAGAGCTACAGTGAGTTTTTCTACTCCTATTGGACAGGGCTATCCCGCAGTGGTAGTGGCAAGGGCTGGCTGTGGATAGATGGAGCCCCTTACACCTCTGAACTGTAAGCCTTCAGAATATTTTGTGGGAAAGGCTTTAATAGAGACATATTGCTTGGGTGACAAGAGTTCAACAATTTGGTTCAACAAGTATTAATGAAACATCTGCTTTGTATTGGAAACTAAGTTTGCGGGAGAATGCTTAACAATGTATAAAATGTTGTACTTGCTCTGGAATGGCTTATAAGGCAGCGAGGGAGGCAGATACAAAGTATTAGTAAAATAATAGAAAAAGTTCTTTGTCTGGTTGCTTTTAGAAATTTTTATTTCAGGGCCTGAAGTTTCTTGGAGCATTAAAAGTGTCTGCAATTCACTCAAGAAGAGAGAGAGAGAAGAGCAGAGGAGAGGAGAGGAGAGGAGAGGAGAGGAGAGGAGAGGGAGAGATCTTTTAGGAATGAATAAACTGAAGCCCAGGTCTTAATGGTGGCCTAAAGTCACAAAACTTCACAATTTGTCAATACCCAGAGAGAGTATAAGACCTCAGATTTCTTGGCTTTCTGTGCATTGAAATGGAGAGCACATCTTTAAAAACACAATCTTTAAAATCTTTTAAAAATCTCCGAGATGACATATATGGTGCTATTATCAAAAATTAGTTTTACTTATATGAGTATTTAGATGGAATTGTACATGATATCCTTTGAAACAGGCAAATGTAATGTCTATACCAAAATATATTATAATTTAAGGCCATGTTTGAACAGACACCTTTCTTCTCTATACACTGTATAGGATTTATTCTCCCAGGAAATAGGACATATTCAATGTAATTATTATTATTTTACAGTTAGATAAACTGAGTAGATACTTTTTAAGTAAACTAAAGGTACATAATTTTCAGATGGCAATAAAATATATGTTAAGTTTGGATTATAATGCATACCGTAGTATTAATTAAAAACAGTTTTTGTTGTTTTGGCTAACCTGATGCTTCTAAGAAACTGAGGGGGTGAAAAGAAAGAACTTGGTGGCTCCATCTTTCCAGCAAACTCATCCTGGGCATTTATTCTTTAATTTTTATCAAGCTAGGAATACTTCCTGTATACTTTCTGGGTACTTACTATTTCATTTTAGAAATAGACTAAGATTAACCTTTTATTCTTTTTTAAGGTTTGAGATAATTATAGATTTTACAAGCCTAAGAAGCAGGGACTGTGTGACCATCCTCAATGGAAAGGCCTTCTCCAAGGACTGCAAAGAGTTGAGGCGGTGTGCATGTGAAAAAATGGCGACCACAGTCAAGCTAGAGAAACTCCCATAGCTTCTTTGAACAGTTACATGGAAGTGATTGATTCTCCAGCTATGACTATGACTTTGGGCTTTCTTCAGAGAAACTGAAGATCAGAACAAAAGTTGCACTTGTAATACTTTGGTTTCAGTTCCTGTCCCCCTCTCTCCCCGCATTTGATCCATGTTTCTACAACAAGTCAACAAAAAGATTGCGCCAAGTAAGGTCGATGCAAGGGATATTGAGACATTGGGAAACAGAAAAAAAAAAAAAAATCAGAAAGGCAATCATTTGACAGGCACAAGAAGGATTTTCATGTTTCCTGCTTGGGCTCACCAGCACTTCCGCGCTTGGGTTTGTGCACGTGCTTACCAGTCACAAAGAAGTCTTGATTACACTATCCACCAGTCTCAGAAACCCATAAAGTTGCAATCCACTTTCTTGACTTAGAAATTACTTTCTAGTATTCTTTCCTCTCAAGATCTACTATCGTCTCCTTGTTCCCATGTCTTCCTTAATATTTGGAGAAGCGAAAAACTTACTGAAGCAGAGGAAATAAGTGTATGTAACAACCTTTGTTCCAACAGACAAGTAGTCCAGGAGAAATTAGCAATCATTCCTTATACTGTGCTACCAAATACACAACTAATTCTTTTTGTTTACTTTAGTTGAAACTTTTCTCAATCTTTCAATAAAGCCTCCATCTGCTATGTCTTTGGCATACTTCCCAATGGAATAATTCTCTTTATTATAATCTTATTCATTCTCTTATAATCTCTTTATTATAAACTTTGTACAAATATACCTCCCGTATCAGTTTAAGACTCCAATGATTGTCACCTTCCCCTAGGAATTTCTTCAAGAAAAGAAATATTCTCAACTCAATTCCGTATCAGAATTACTATCCCTGATGCTTCCTTCAGAGAGCTTGAAGACCAGGACAAAAGTCAGTCTGTTTATGTGCAACTGGAATAGTTTAGTTTCAGTTTCTATTTTCTTCCATTTGATCCATATTTATACCTGCAGGTACTGAAGATTTAATAATAATAAATGTAAATAATGTGAACTGTGTATGATTTTAAAATGGATTTGTGATTTGGGGAAAAATTCAGCATGGAGATGCTCTTCAAAATAAGATAGCAGTCAGTGTTTTGGTTAGTTGTGGCTTACGGAGAGTTTGTGGGGACTCTACAAGAGTACTAATTATTTGATTTTTTGAAGAAAATAAGAAATCTTTGAGATGCACACTGTCTTCAAGCAGATGGTCTTAACTCTTTCCAAAAATTAAATCCTTTGAGGCAAGGTTATGTCATCAACACATGGCTAAAGATGAGTAAACTGAATTCTAATAGGGCAAGTTATCCAATCAGGTCACGGAAAGCGAGAGGCTATGACATCTGCATACATAGCTGGCTTCTTCCGTAGGTGTCCCTTTCTCAGAATGACAATATGCACATCTATAACAAGGGTCATGGCAAATGACACTGTCGCAAACACTGACTTTGTTTATAGATAGATCCATTTTAGGGATTTAACCCTAGAAAAAATAATTTGTCATAAATCTTTATTTTTCAACAGTGGAAACGGATGCTTTAGTTTTATTTTCAGTAAACATCTATCTTATGGTAAAATAACATTAAGTTACCAAACATATTATAAAGAGAACACTTTTGTATTCATTTTCATGACTATGTTGCTTATCAATTACTAGTTTCAGATTTCTTCTTTCCGAATTTTCCTTTCAATTTTCTGTGGATTAGCTAGATACTTTCTTCAGTATTGAACAAATTTTGTGTTAATTTATTGTGTTGTACAAAGAGAACTGCATTTGTGATCATAAAATGAAAGTATGAAATCCCTTATTTTGATTTATTGTTGAAAAAAATCACTTTAAGAAGTTTATTAAGTATAAAATAAAAATATTTCTAATTTCCTCACGGTGTTACACTTAGCTGAAATTAGGTAAATGCAAAATTAGTTTCCTAATCTAAATTGTAATATAAAATTTAAGAGATGTTAAAAACATGCAAAAAAGGAGAAAGAATTTAGTGGTTTTGTTTTTTGTTTTTGTTTTTTAAATAGAGGAGCACAAACAAGCATAAACAAACTTTTTTAAAAAACCTGTATTCATGAACAAGTGTAGAGAGCACCTACATTGGTGAGCAGTGGACATTACCTAATATTTTTTATGTTGAGGGCTGATATTTAATGCACACAATTAATGTAATAAGCACATAACAAGAAATGTGGATTAGGCCTTTAGTTAAGCAATTAAGTGTTATTTAAGTCTTGCTACTGAAGAAAGAAAATATGGTTAGTATGAGAAAAGTCAAATGACTTTGTGGTCTAACTCGTAAAATAGAGACATGGCACACAAGTTTTGACCCTTGGTACCTACATAACTACAGTCTAGTTCAGGGTTGGATGACGAGTGTCTCTTTAAATGACATTGCTTTAGTTAGGGTCTTGCTGGTCTGGAGAGTGAGTGTTGAGTAGTCTCATTCCAATCTGCAACCTTAGGGAAAGTGTCATTTTAGATAGTGAGGAAGGAAAAAAAAATAGCATTTATTTGACATTTTTGGCTGTACTTGAGCTTATTTTTCCTCACTATTGCCCTCAATAATCCCCTCACTTGTGTAACAAGACCCACAACATTGATCACAATATGAGCAAATATTTCAAAAAACAGGAGTATGGCACAACATTCTCTTTACAACATTTAAAAAATGTTTAAGTCTGAAAAATAATCATAACATGAATTTGAAATGTGATTTGGTGAGAACAAATGTCCATTGGGAATCCAAGAGGGCAGCACCCCATAAATTGGTTTTTTAGCATGAGAAGACTTTTCTTCTTTAGGCTCTGTATGTACTTAGGTAATTCCAAAGAAATTTCAGGATAAGTCAAATGAGGAACATGACTTTTCCTGGTAGACTTGAGTTCCCAAGGGTACACAATGAGCTATTTCTTTTTTTGTAGATATTGAACCAGCTCTTAAAACTTATCAACAGGAAACAGGTCATGAGTCCTGTAACAGCAGGAAGTATGAGAAGTGTAATAGGAGCTTTTACTTTGGAGATATAAACAGACCATGAAATAAGTAGAAAAGTTTAGTAGGTTGCCTCAGGGCTCGCCTTAATATTTGGCAGTGAACTATTTTGTAAAGGGATTCTTATTATTTTTGAAGAATAAAAAAAGCAGCACAATATGATTTAAATTGTACAAACTTTTTTACAAGTTTCATTGTATAAACAAATTTTTAGAATTTAATATTATTATTATTCTATCAATTTTACTATTTGACTATTTTTTTCTTTTTGTACACAATGTACTTTAACCATACTCCATTACAAAGCTGCTTTACATTTGTAAAACAGAGTTTTATGTCATTTTTTCTTTCCTTTTCCTTTTCTTTTCTTTCTTTTTCTTTCTTTCCTTTTTCTTTTCTTTAAAGCTATTTGGAACTCAATAAGATGAATCAAGATATCCAATTCATTATTGGTGGGACTAGGGTATAAAACCATTCATCTCAGTGCTAAAGCCCAATCTCTTACC